TTTTATATTTATTTATTTATTTTTTTATTTTTATTTTTTTTTATCTACATATTACATTTACGCTATTAATGTTTTAAACAAAGTTGTTAACAACAGAGAAAAGAGATATTTCTTGTTTATCACCAATCGAGTTTTCGTCTCATGAGATTTATTTATCAGTTCAGTCACATCGAAGTCGTTCAATACCGCGTATACACACAGGATATACCGGTCACGAGTTCGAGATACGCGACAAAGAGCGGACGCGACGAAATTGTCATGTAAATGATTTGCGTTCGCGTTCAAAGCGCGCGCGGCCGGTTTCACACCACGTGCGCGATGAAAAATATAACGCGTACCTATCTAGCGTGTGCTCTCCCGGGGAGAGACCGGATCGCGCATTTTATTTCGCTTCGGGCAAGGACGATCGCGATTATGCCATCGTCGGCTTTCACGCGCTAAGAAAACACGTACAAACGAGATTGAAAGTGTACGACGCGTTTAAAACTTTCAAGGAACGAGAACGCACATACGGTACGTCAATCTTGCGAACACATCGCGCGTCGATCGACTTGCAAATTTCGTGTTTTTATGTAATTTACACGCGCGCGTTATCGCGAATGATCGTCGACAATGTATCTAAACCTATGTACGTTCTTTCTTTCGAATCGCGCCTCATCTTTCTTCTTCGCGCTTCTTCGCACGTCGAGCTTCGGAGCGAAGCACATGGGATGCGCCACGGTTACACGTCACGCGGCGCATCAGCTGCGCGGATTGACGCGCCGCCTCTCAATCATCCTCCTCAATCGGTCGCGTGCAAATAGTGCGAATCACTAAGTAAAAGGGATGATACTCACGCAAAAATTCTATACTACTCAGGTAAATCGCTCCTATAACAGTAAACGCTCTAATGGCCGGATATTTATTAAAGAAATAATTATCAGATACGTGAATATTAAAACACAACTTTCAACGTTTTAAATATTTTTAAGATATGTTTATATATATATATATATATATATATATATA